CACACCCAGACCTGGGGCCTGAGTTCACCCGAGCTGCCATCCACGTCGGCCCTGCCTCAAGGGCTTATACCTGTTCTAGCCTCATTGGCATTTTGTACGCAGCAGACCCTTTGGGAGCACGCAGTGATGGGCCAGGGCATGCAGGTATTAGAGGCAGGTGTGGAGGACCCAGCCTCCCAGCGCTGCCACCCATGACCGGGTCGCCTGGGCTGTCTTCCCCCTTGCAGGAAGCGGGAGAATAGCCTCCAGGAGGACAGGGGCAGCTTCGTCACCACCCCTACTGCAGAGCTGTCCAGCCAGGAGGAGACGCTGCTGGGCAGCTTCCTCGACTGGAGCCTGGACTGCTGCTCTGGCTACGAAGGCGACCAGGAGAGCGAGGGCGAGAAGGAGGGCGATGGTGAGTGTGCAGTTAGGGTGCACTTGAGGGAACATTGCACAGACAGCAGCCCTCACTGAGGGCCTCCACGCACTTGGCCCTGTGTGTGTGCTGGGGCAGGAAGGAGGATATGCATAGAGCAGGGCCTGCTGGGCGGGGCCGGCTCCTGCCCCACAGGGGAGCATGTCCAGATACCAGGAGAGTGAGAGGAGGGGAGAGCCCCCAAAACACCCCAGCTCAGGGCTTTTCCCACCGCACAGGGATGAGAGGACTTAGCCACACCTGTCCACCACAGCTCAGGGCTCCTCCCACCGCACAGGGACCAGAGGACTTAGGCCACACCTATCTAGCTCCTGCTGATTCTGTGTTGGGAGGACCTTACTAGGATTGCGAAGGTGGAGGCCCAGTCTGGAGCTCATGATAAGATTTTTCTAGGCCTGGTGTGGTGGCTCATGCCTGTAATCCCAGCAATTTGAGAGGCTGAGGCAGGAGGATCACTTGAGGCTAGTTCAGGATCGGTCTGGGTGATATAGCAAGACAAAATTTAAAAATTAGCCAGGTGTGGTGGCTACTCAGAAGGCTGAGGCGGGAGGATCTCTTGAGCACAGGAAGGCAGGAGCTACAGTGAGCCATGATCGTGCCACTGCACTCTGGCCTGGTGTTCTTTCTAGAATATTGAGATGTGCCCACGTGGTGTACATGACACTCCTCACTGCCCTTTTGGGATCAGTGCCCTGTGCAAACCCCAGGCAGACCGCAGGGGTCCTTGCCAGAAGCCCAGTTAGGATGAGTCCTGGCGATTTCCCAGTTGTTTGCTTCTGTATCCACTTGGCTTGAGGTAGATGGCCAGCTTGTCACCTCCACTGTTGTTGGGGTCATGGCGGGCAGCCGTCCAACCTTGGAAGAGCCCTGTCACCCACGGCTTCTCACCACAGGAGGGCAACACTGGGGTCCATAGCAAGGTAGAAGATTTTTGACCTGGCAGGGGTCTCCCCTGATGCTTAGATGTGACACAACCTCCCTCTCCACCAACCTTCCTGCAGTGACAGCTCCCAGTGGAGTTCTCGATGTCACCGTGGTCTACCTGAACCCAGAACAGCATTGCTGCCAGGAATCCAGTGATGAGGAGGCTTGCCCAGAGGACGAGGGGCCCCAGGACCCACAGGTGTCGGCGCTGGACACCCAGATCCCTACAGTCCTGGGACCTGAGTCCCCGCTTCACACCAGCCAACAGCCAGGGAAGGACATCACGACCTCAGGGTACTCCTCCGTCAGCACCGCGAGTCCCGCAAGCTCCGTGGACGGCAGCTTGGGGGTCCTGTCCCGATCTACCTCAGTGCTGTCTCTAGACAGTGACTCACACACACAGCCCTGCCACCATCAGGCCAGGAAGTCATGTTTACAGTGTCGTCCCCCAGAGAGCAGTGTTCCCCAGCAACAGGTGAAGCGGAAAAATCTATGTGTGCACAGTGAGGAGGAGGGCATGAACTGGGGCTTGTGAGGCTGTGAGTGCGTCAGCGTGTGTGTCGCGGTGGATGTGTACTGGGGGGGCCTGCCAGCCAGGGGTGGGAGCACAACACAGGATTGCTGTATAGACCCCGGTGGCCTTCGCACAGAGCAGAGAGGGTGACTTGTGGCCACCAAATTTCTTTCTCCGTGGGAGTCATGTGAGTCATCAGAATGTCCAAATGCGGGTGAAGAGCTCAGATCCATCTCTTTGGAAAGTTTAGCCTCAAAGCAGTCAGCCGCACTGCGTGGAGGGCACCTCTCTGTCCTTTCTGTGTCCCAGTGTCTCTGGAAACTTCAGCCTGTATGTGTCCTGATCTTCCCAGCCCCACCAGAGCCCCGTGCCGGGAGCTGACAGCTTTCACTCAGAGCACGTGTGCCCTGGGTAGTCAGATACCACTCGAGCCCCTGCCCACGTCTGTCTGGTTTGGGGCCCCGGTGAGGAGTTGACAGCTCGGAGCATACCACTGTCCCTTCAGTGTGTCCCCTCATCCACCTCGGCCTGCATGGGGACCCACTTCCTTCTGGGTAGGGCTTCGGTCACCAGGGTGCCTGTGTCCATGCACACTGTGTGGACTGCCTTGGCTACAGGCCCACTCCCTACGACATGTTAGTCATTTTAGAGCTCTGTCCCAGAGGCGTTTGTCTGACCCACAGATGGTGTCAATGTGAACACCTCTCTTTGTGCTGAATTTCTGGGCCATTCTTTTCCCGTCTTTATTTCTAAATTTTCTTCTTCTAAGATGCAAACGAGAAAAACTTACAACAGAGGGTATTAAAAAAACAAGATTCCCACCATTATTTAGGCTTAATTGCAAAACAAAAATCTTACTCCAGCCCCTCAATGCCATCCTCACACTTTATGCAAAAAGAATTTTCCCAGAGAGGCTAACTAGAAAAAACTTGAAGTCTTCCGTAACGTCTGAGGTGACCGAGAGGCATAAAAGCAGAGCAGTCTGGTGCCATGTCCTGGCAGATCCCAGCTGCAGCTCTGCTCTGGGCACCCATGGGAAGGGAGGCAGATGCTCTAGCCTTTCCCGCTGGCCACAGAGACTCTGGTCTCGCATGAAAAGGAAGCCTGGGAGACAGCAGCCCATGCCTGGGGAGCCTGCTGCCTCCAGCCAGGTGACCGTGGCCTATCTCCGTCTTGAACTCCTGACTTCGGGTGATCCCCAATTCGGCCTCCCAAAGTGCTGGGATTACAGGCGTGAGCCACCACACCTTGGCCCTCAAATGCTCTTGAACCAGAAACCCAGGACTGGGAGATGCTCAGTGAGTGACTACTTTTCTGTGTGTTTGTGTCTGAGGCAGCTGTCTTTTTGCTACTAGAAGGGAATTCTGGCCACCCTGGGTGGGGCGTGTTTGGGGTAAGAAACCAAGCTTTGGAACTGTAGACCTGTCCTGTTGGCTGTGTGCCCCTGGGCATGTGTGGGCCTCAGTTTCCTCATTTGTAAGAGGGAGCGATGATACCTACCTCACAGGGGTGTTGTGAGGATTAAATGTGAGGAGTATAGTGGCAGATGAGTGATGGACGTCCTTTGCTGCCTCGGCCCCTTTTCTGGGGGCTCTTTTGTCAAAATCCCAACTCTGGATGGTGTAGGAGGAAACCACTCTGGGGGGACCTGGCACTGCCTGCCTGTGGTGGCTCCTGCATCTCAAGTGCTGACTCAACCTTTCCCAGCCTCCTCCTTCAGAGAATCTCCAGGGAGGCAGGGCCACTGGCAGCCTCCCCACCGCTGACAGAGGGGCCCATCCCCAGGACTGGCCCAGAGCTGCCTGCATCCCAACCTCCCTGACAACTCTGTGCCCTTCTGCAATGGCACCTTCCCATTAACAACTATGGAACAGACTCACCTGTCCCATCTTTAAACAGCATCTCCAGGTCTGTCTTATCTCCAGCTACCACTTGGGATTTCTTCACCCCCTATTTATTTTATTTCTTTCTTTCTTTTTGAGACAGTTTTATTCCTCTTGCCCAGGCTGGAGCACAATGGCGTGATCTCTGCTCACCACAACCTCCGCCTCCCAGATTCAAGTGATTCTCCTGCCTCAACCTCCCAAGTAGCCGGGATTACAGGTGTGCGCCATCACGCCTGGCTAACTTTTCTATTTTTAGTGGAGATGGGGTTTCTCCATGTTGGTCAGGCTAGTCTCGAACTCCCAACCTCAGGTGATAAGCCCACCTCTGCCTCCCAAAGTGCTGGGATTTCAGGAGTGAGCCACCACACCTGGCTTTATTGTTTATTCTTTTTTTTTTTTCTTTTTCTTTTTTTTTAAGACGGGGTTTCACCATGTTGGTCAGGCTGGTCTTGAACTCCTGACCTCAGGTGATCCACCCGCCTTGGCCTCCAAAGTGCTTGAATTACAGGCTTGAGCCACCACGCCCGTCCTGTTGTTTATTCTTAACTCCAACTACGTGGAGCCCTGCTGCCCTGCTCACTTCCCCCGTAGTCGTCCCCTGTGTCACTGAAGGCCCTGTCCTCCCATGCTGTGTACACTGTCTAGGCCTCAGCAGTGCTTGGCCTGTGGCCCACTGCCTCGTGTTGCCTCTGTGACACTATCCTACTGCTCCACCTCCCTGGCCCCATTTTCCGTGGCTCACCTGTCCCTACCCGAGCCTCCTACCCCACCAGGAGCCACCTTGCCAGGCCCACTGCACCAGGGTATGAGCTTCCTCCCCTCTACCCAGTGCTAGCACGTCACGTATCCAAAAGTGAACATTTCTCCTCCCTCATCCCTGCTCCCGACGCGCCATCTTCATCTCCAGCAATGCTGTCCTCCTGCCTGGCCCTATGTGCTCTGTGGCCCGGCGTCAGCAGGACGGCTGATCCCTGCGTTAGAGCACTTTCAGTAAGAACAGATGGAGCCGCTCTTACAACCTGCACAGGTGCCCTGCAAGAGGAGCGCGAGAAGGGCGCCCCCGTCTACCCAGTTACCCAAACCAAAAGCCCGGAGTCGCCCGCAGTCCCCTCCCTGGCGGCCTCGGGACCCAGCTCCGAGCGGGAGTCCCCACCAGACCTAGGGGGCAGGAGTGGGCGGGGTTTGAGGCTGGCCCGTAATGGGGGAGAGAAAGCTTCGGGAGGGACGGACCCCGAACCCTGGCTCAGGATTGGGCAGCCCGGCCGGGAAGGGGCGGCCTTCCCGCCCGGAAGAGGCGTGGCTCTTCGGAGGCGGCAAATTGCAAGGAGACGCCGCCGCCTTCATGCTGCCCGGGGACTGCTCGCGGAGGTGAGGCCTGCGCGGCGGGAGGGAGCGGGCGAGCGGGCGAGCGGGCGGGGGGGCAGGCATGGGGCCCGAGGCCCGACGCTAACAGACGTGCTGCGCTGCCGGCGCGTCCCCCAGGCTGGTGGCCGAGCTGCAGGGCGCCCTGGACGCCTGCGCAGAGCGACAGCTGCAGCTGGAGCAGAGCCTGCGCGTCTGTCGTCGGCTGCTGCAGGCCTGGTAGGCGGACCCCGGGACCCCCTGGCCAGACCCCCCTCGGCCCCTCACAATCCTGCAGCGAGCCCCCGGGACTGGGAGGTCGGGCCCAGCCGCACACTCCGAACTGCAGGTTGTCAGTGCCACCCCCTTACGCTGCAAGCTCCTAGCTGGGGGCCTGCGGCGGGGCCCGGCGGCCCCCTCGGGTCTTTAGGAGCTGGGCCCTGCCTCCTGGCTGTGCAACCGCTGCCCATGTCTTCGCAGGGAACCAACCGAGACCCGGGCTTCGGAGCCACCTCCAGGGCCAGAAACTAATGAAGAGGACCCGTCTCCAGGTAAACCTCCACCGCCACCTTCCCCAGGTGCTGCTCCGGCCTGCCTTTTAGCGTGCAGTTGTGACGGACCCTCCTGGGGACAGCGAGGAGGGATCACTGCATAATTCTTGGCTTTCACAGCATGCGCACCCAGTCCACAAGACCTCAAAGAGCTGGAATTTCTGACCCAGGCACTGGAGAAGGCTGTACGGGTTCGAAGAGGCATCACTATGGCTGGAGAAACAGACAAGGCCCCCAGCCTGAAATCTAGGTCCACTGTCGCTCCTCCTGGCGCGATAGCCATTGCCCCACCCCAGACCCCAGGCCGAGCTGGTGGCCATGCTTCAGACACGAGACCCACCAAAGGCTCCTGCCAGACCACGGTGCCTCCCAAGGGCCACTCTGAGCGCCAGCTGCTGTCACTGGGGGATAAGACTCGTGTCAGGACAGGAGCTCGGGCCCCCAGGCCTGGACCGGGCCTCAGGGACCAGCAAATGACCCCATCAGCTGCTCCTAAGGCCCCAAAAGCCTTCACACTCAAAGAGAAGGGGTAGGTTTCCCCGACCTTCACTGGAGGGACTTCTGTCTCTGCCTGCTCAGACCCTGGCTAGCAAGGAGTCTGGGATTTGGGGTGACAGGGAGGGCATGGCATTAGCGGCTTTAAGCCCTGGGGCGCACCTCTGAGGCTTGTGCTTGGAAGCTGGCAGAATGAAGCAGCTGTGTGACGGTGTCCGGGTTGGTACCTTCGGGATGGGAAGTACTGGAGCTTGTCCTGCCTTCCTCTGTGGCTGTCCCCTTAATCTGCCCAGAGGCTCCAGGTGGGCTCTGGAGGGCATGGGCTTTGCTCACGGGGCCCCATCTTCTCTCTACCGGGGCAGCACTGGACCTCGCAGCTCCCATGGCCACCCCGTAAGCCTGTCCAAGCGGGCTAATCCTTAGTGGGGTCAGGTGTGGGAGAGGGGCCAAGAAGCTTCATCCCTGATTAGGCTCTGACCAGGAGATGGGACTTGTAGATCCCAGAGCAAAGCAAGGATCCTCTGAACACAGGCTTCTCCGACAGGCACCTGCTGCGGCTGCCTGCGGCATTCAGGAAGGTGGCTTCCCAGAACGCGAGGTGAGGCTAGGTCTTCATCTAGGCAGGGGCAAAGGAGAACCGGGAGGCATCACCAGCTCGGGAACTGGTTTGAGAGACTTTCCAGCAGGTCTCTCTGCTCTCTTTGCTGAGTGGGGTCACTGTGATATTAAAACTCTGTCAGCTGGTCAGCTCTATCCCCATGTCCCAGTCAGTGTCCTCTTGGTTCCCTGTGGCCTCTGGAGGCCCCTCCTGGCCTTCAGCAGAGCCAGACATCCAGCTTGGGGTCCCCACCCTGGCCCTTGCCTACCTCCCAAGGCCCAGCTTGCTGTCTGGAATAACTGTGTCCCTCTGTGGTTCCTGGGGCGCCCCATGTGTGCACTCAGCCTGTGGGCCCAGCTCAGTTCCATGCAGACCAGTGATTCCACAGATGCCACTGCTGCCAAAACCCAGTTCCTCCAGAACATGCAGACAGCTGTATCCTTGCTGGGCTCACGGGAGCCCCGGGGGCCTCTGGCTCTGAACCTGGCGAGTTTACAGAACAGCCCAGGAAGGGCTGGCGTGGGATGGCCAGGGCCACTCCCCAGACCCGGTCGTTGGTGGGAGCAGAGAGGCTTGGCCACAAGGAAGTTTTCCTGACCCACATCCAGTCAGGTGGGCCCCAGCCCAGGCTCAGCGCTCAGGAGGTGGAGGCGGAGACGGGGCGCCTTTGGAAGGCCTGCACGCTGCTGAGACTGCGCATGAGGGAGGAGCTCTCAGCAGGTGCGTGGTCTTGGGCCTGTCTCGGGAGGAGTGTGGATGGCTGGTGCAGGGAGGGTTTCCAGACTGCCCTGGACCCCACCTGCCCTCCCTGACTTCTGCAGCCCCCATGGACTGGATGCAGGAGTACCGCTGCCTGCTCATGCTGGAGGGGCTGCAGGCCATGGTGGGCCAGTGTCTGCACAGGCTACAGGAACTGCGTGCAGGTGAGACACCACCCTCATCCTGCTACTGCACCGAGGTCTGGACCAGGGACAGGGCCAGTAGCCAGCCTTGTCTGTGCCTCAGGGAAGGGTGAGCAGCCCAAGGACCAGAAGCAAGTTGGTGGGCCCTTCCGCCCCTCCCACGCCACTCCCCGATGTACTTGGTCCTCTCCAGTTGTCCTGTGGGAGCTGCCAGTCTTCCTTTCCTTCTCAGGGCAGTTCCCCCACCTCGCTGCTCCCTGAACACTTACTGCTCTGAGCAGTTGCTTATTCACCCAGTTTTTGAAAAAGTAGCATGTGAGGCCGGGCACAGTGGCTCACGCCTGTAATCCCAGCACTTTGGGAGGCCGAGGTGGGCAGATCATTGAGGTCAGGAGTTCGAGACCAGCCTGGCCAACATGGTGAAACCCCATCTCTACTGAAAATACAAAAAAATGTTGCCAGGTGTGGGGGTGCATGCCTGTAGTCCCAGCTACTCAGGAGAGTGAGGCACGAGAATCGCTTGAACCCAGGAGGCAGAGGTTGCAGTGAGCTGAGAGAGACACTCTGGGTGACAGAGCGAGACTCAACTTCAAAAAAAAAAAAAAAGGAAAAAGTAGTGTGTGAGAATCAGCTCCTGGTAGATGACTGGCCTGGTAGACAAGAGGTGGTTATTTATGGACAATAGAGCTTCCTTCCTCCTGTGTATTTTCTAATTGCTTGAAGTTTTAAGAGTGAAGATACGCCATTTGTCAAAAGAAAAGCCAGTCTCACAAAAGTCATGCTTAAACACAATAAAGAGAGTCCCCCACAGCCAGAGGGCCCCCCACAGAGGACTTCTGCCAGTGATTACCGGCCCCAGTCACACCATCTTGCACTGGGCTGCCCTGGAAGCTCACCTTTCCCCGCTAAAAGCAGGGCAAGCGGTGCAGATGTCCAGAGAGGCAGGCGCCGGCCCACAGGAGAAGCTGGACCCTGGGTTCAGCTGCCACCCCAAAGGCCACATTCTCTTGTGCACACAGCGGTAGCAGAACAGCCACCAAGACCATGTCCTATGGGGAGGCCCCCCAGAGCCTCACCATCCTGTGAGGGTGGAGCAGATCCTGCATGGAGCCCCCAGCTGCTTGTCTACTCCAGCACCCAGGAGCTGCAGACCCTGGCAGCCCTCAGGCTTCGAGTGGCCATGCTGGACCAGCAGATCCACTTGGAAAAGGTGCCTCTGGAAGAGGAGGTTGGGGGGCAACAGGGTACCTGGGGTAGGGGGGCTGTGGGCCACAGGGGTCCGCAGCCTTGAGAGGAGGAGGACCCAAGGGTAGGGGCTGGACTGCTCCACTCCCCAGGACCCAGGAGGATGGGGGTGAGCTTGGGGTCTGTGTGTGGGTTGGGAAATGCACTGGTCAGACTGGGCTAGGGACAGCAGGACGGAGCGTGGGAGCTCAGAAGGAGAGGGGCTAGAGCATGGGGGCCTCGAAGCCTGTCCTGGGATTGCCCTGCACCTAGGTGGCCCTGAGACCTTGGCCCTGCCCCGCCCTGCCCCCAGGTCCTGATGACTGAACTCCTCCCTGTGGTAAGGGCCACACAACTGCAGGGGCCACCCTGGCTGACCCTTTGCCGGGCTGCGCACAGCCTGCTCTGTGAGGGAGGCGCACGTATCCTCACCGTCCTTAGAGATGACCCTGTGGACTGAGCCTTTCCTGTGCTGCCCCCACCCGCCTCCCAGGCCTCAGGACCACTTGGGTGCTGGCCTGCCAGGGAATGTCCCCTCAGCCCTCTTCAGAAGAGGATTGGGGATGTTTTCCCTGGCGCTGTGCTCTGGGACCCAGAGATGCCTGTAACATCCCTGGGAAACCTGGTGAAGTGGATGGGGTGGCCTCATCGGCTCTTCTCAGGACAACTAAGCTGCTGGTCAGGTCTGGTGTTCAGCCTTCCCGAGCCTCCTGGAGTCCAGCGGCCAGCAGGGAGCCTTTCTTGGCTCCCTCTGTTTTCTCACTATAAACCAAAGAGCCGCTTGTGTGATATTAAAGCTACTTTAGAAAGCATTTGTATTGATTGATTTTTTTGAGACAGTCTCACTCTGTCACCCAGGCTAGAGTGTAGTGGCGTGGTCTCAGCTCACCACAACCTCTGCCTCCCAGGTGCAGGTGATTCTCTTGCCTGAGGCTCCCAAGTGGCTGGGATTACGGGCTCCTGCCAGCACACCTGGCTTTTTTTTTTTTGTATTGATGGGGTTTCACCATGTTGGGCAGGCTGCTTTCAAACCTTCCATCTCATGTATCCTCCCAGCATGCTGTGTGCATGAGCCACCACGCCCCGCTGACAGTGTATGTATTTATTAAATCACACCAGGTGAGACTTGATAGGCACTTGTTTTTGCTTTTACTTGTCAAGTTATATCACTGGTATGCCACGCTGAAAAAGAACATACCAAGTGTATTTATCAAGATTATAAGTGGGTCAGGTGCCGTGGCTCACGCCTGTAATCCCTGCACTTTGGGAAGCTGAGATGGGCAGATCACCTGAGGTGAGGAGTTCATGAGCAGCCTGGCCAACATGGTGAAACCCCATCTGTAGTGAAAATACAGAAGTTGGCTGGGTGCAGGGGCAGGTACCTGCAGTTCCAGCTAGGCAAGAGGCTGAGGCAGGAGAATCATTTGAACCTTGGAGGCAGAGGTTGCAGTGAGCTGAGATCGCACCACTGTACTCCAGCCTGGGCGACAGAGCAAGACGCCGTTTCAGAAAAAATGCTGGCCACCGGGCTGTGGCATTGGCCATGGCCAGTGATCCTAGCATTCTTTAAAGGAATGTGCACTGAGGGCCCGGGGCATCCCATGCATTTTGGGACTGGGGTCAGGTGCTCTGTGTAGACAGCTCAGAGCTCCACCATGCCCAACTGTGGGCAGGGACCTGTGGCAGGGAAGATGACCAGCCCCTTCCCGGAGGTGTCCCCATGGACAGGGCAGCAGGACAGGAGGTGGGTGGCACCCAGAGAGCTGGGTCTTCTGAGAGCCTGATGAAGCATCACAGGTATACAGGGATGACCTGGGTGACAGTGCTGTGGCTCCGAGGTGGCCTCTTGGCCTGTAGCCGGAGGTTCTGCTTGTAAAGGGCCTGACAGTCCAACAAGTCAGAAACATGCTCCCAAGGTGAGGGCTGCTGGGGACCAGATGACAGAGACCAAGATAGGAAACCAAAAACAATGGTCATTATTGCATTGAGGGGGAACCTCCAGAGACAGCAGCTCCACCCCCTACCCCCAGCAGCCTGGCAGCAGCCCCAGTGTCACACCCCTTGATCAGGTCGGCCAGCCTTGCCCCTCCCAGCCACCCCACTGCTGCCTTCAGGCTACTCCTGGGCACCCCAGTCTGCAGGAGCCACTGACTCACTGGAAGCCCTCATCACACTGCAACTGTACACTCCATGGGTTTCCACAGCAAGGTGGACTCTACCCAGCCTTATTTCACTGGCTGACTTGGTTTATCCCCCATGTCTACTGGATATGTGCCCCAGGAGGGCAGGGGCGCTGTCCCCCTCCACCCTGGCCAGGCCCTGATGATCCACCTATCCCGGGGCCAACCCAGGGCACGGTGGCTTCCTGGAGCAGGGAGGTGGCTGGGATAGCTTTGTGGGAGCCCTGAGGAGGCCCTGACATAGGGGTCCAGGGCGGGAAAGACACATCCTCCGACTAACGCCCACCCACCGCGATTCCCCTCCAAAACCTGGAGGCAGCAAGAACTCCCGGGCGTCCGGGCTGGCGTCACCGCCTCTGCAGCCAATGGGCTCTGACGTGGCGGGCCCGGAACGCCACTGGGGTTGTGCGGGGCGTCCACACCACCCACCGAGCGCGGCCACCGCGTAGGCGGCATGAGCGCTCCCGAGCCTCCGCCCCCGGCGCCCGCCTCGCCCTCCGGGCCGGACCCTACGCGCCCTTCTTTTGGCCACCGGCGGCGCGGGGGGCTCGTGGCCCTGCTGCGTCCTGCCGTTCGGTGCAGTGGCCGCACTGGCTGGTGCAGCCGCCACAGCCATCACCTTCTCGCTGCGGGGGCCCCGCCTGGACCTGGCCCGGGGCTCGTCGCTGGCCGCGCTCAGTGCGGGCCTCGGGCTCCTGACCGCCGCCTTCCTGTGCTGGCGCGCTTGGCGGCGGCGAAGGGCCGGGCGCGGGGAGCCGGGGGCGCCCTGAGCCCCCGGCGAGGCCCCCTTCCATCGAAGTTACCGCGAGCCGGGCGCCCCTCTCTCCGACCTCGCCGCGGCGGGGCGGGCGCAGTGCCAAGCGCAGTCGCAGAGGCCACCTCCTACACCCCCCGCCCCAAACCGTTACTTCTGGAACCCTTTGGGCAGAGGAGGCCACCGGCCGTTTCCCTCCCTCCTCCTCCTCCCTCCGTGCAACGTCGCATTTCAGCTTTTTGGCTTGGCACGCAGAGCTGGCGCGACCGCAGAGCTGGGCGGCGGCGGGACGGGGCCTGCGCGGCTCGGGGACGGCCTGGCACGAGGGTGCTGGGTGGAGGGCAGCGGGCTGCGGGCTCGGCCACACAACCCGCCACTGGGAGCCTGCTGTGTCGGCTCCTGGGGGCTGCCTTCGGAACTCGGTTGTAAGCCCCTGCGGCATAATAGGCACTCAATAAATGTTTGTGCAATAGTTGAACATGTGGTGGCTTGCAGGCATTTGTTGGGGGACAGCAGGTTCTGGGCTAGGCGAGGAATTACTGGATCAATGGGCATCTTACAAGAAAGACCCTCAGCTCCCTGACGCCTGGGACTGTCTAGCCCATCTATGTCTTCTCCCCAGCCTGTGCCTCAAAGCCAGAGCTGCCGCTCTCAGGGGGAGGGGTGGGGCTCTGCGGCCTGAGTTGCAGGTGGGGGGAGGGGAGGCGGAGCGTCTTTGTTGGGAAGGTGCCATGAGAGGGCAGGGCCAGTGGAGAAGTGAGAGGTGTGAGGCCCCAGGCAGGGACTGGGACAGGTGGCTGGGTCCCTAGAGAGCAGTAAGTCCCGCTTGGGGGCTGTGAGGAGGCCCCCGCTAACTCCCAAATACCGTCTGCGAGGGCTGGGGGTGGGGGCGGAAAACGTGTGCAGAGGTCTGTTCCTATGGAGAGGCCCTGTGGCCAGCAGCCTCCTCCCTGGGAAGCTGGTGACACAATGGCCCTCAAGGCCTCCCACCGCGCTGGCCCAGATGAACAATTGCAGCAGGGCTGAGCTCCAGGCACCGACTTTCTGCCAGCCCAGAAGCCACCAGTCGTTCTGCAGACCCCAGTCCCAGCTCACAGGGTGGCTGAGCTGGAGACAAAGCCAGCCCCTCTGACGAAGGTAGAAGAGGCTGCTGGTCGCTGTCTCTCCTGCAGCCTGGCTGGCGGCCAGTCTGGCAATGGCCCTGATCTGGCCCCATGGCCCTGATGTCCAGAGACAGCTTGAGTTTCCCCAGAGGCTTGTCTCTGGACAGTGGAACCCCTGTGTCAGGCCTGGGCTTTTCTCTCTACTGTCCCAGAGTGATGATCTCACCCCCATGCTCCCCGCACACAGTTCCTCCCACCATTACGGTGGGGTGGCAGGGGGTGGGGGTTGGGAGCCAGAAGAACCTTGAAGAGGGTGGTGGGGAAGTTTCAGGCTCTAAGCTTGACCCACAGAGCAGAGCGTGAGCCCTGTCAGGCTCAGGGCCTTCACCTTGTAAAGGATACGATTCCCATTCTCTTTATCAGGAAGCTGAGGGGCAGGGGCCTGTGGCAGAGAGAGAGAGCCCCTCAGTCCTCTCTGCTCAGTGCTCCCGTGGCCCCATCCCTGCATCTGTGGCTGTCATATGCAGACATGTGGCCCGGAGAAGGTGGGCACCAGCCAGTGTCAGTTGTTCCAGGAGTCAAGCCAGGTACCTCATCACCGTCTTCCTGTTCCTCCCCTCCACAAGCAGGCCCTCCTGCTCTCTCCTCTGGTCCTTCAGTTTCCCCCAGGAGGCTTCTGTGTCCTCCTGCCTCTCCTCTCCCAAAAAGTGCGAGGCTCCTGCCTCTCCATCCTCTTCCTGTTGTCCTTGTGTATCTCTGGCTGTGTCCAGGGTCCACCCACGTGGCCCCTGCACCATCTGCAGGGCCTGGTCTTCCATGTGAAACAGGGCATGCAGGCCTCGAGGTGGACCCTGCAGGGAACTTCTTCCTGGCCCCTCCCTGGAATGTTGGGCCTCCTCTGTCCAGGACCTAAAAGTAGGAGAGAAGGACATTTCTCTGACCAGAGCTGTCCCTGGACCCTCTGCTGGCGTCGCTCCCAGGCACAGCTGCCCCATCCCCCCCTAGTCCCCAGGCCACCCACCTGGGCTTCTGCCTCAGTTTCCCTGCCCCAGTTTCCCTGCCCAAACTTGTTTCCACGTGGGCCAGTGGGCTCAGGGTTGCTACCAGTCCCTTCCTATGATTGAACCCTACTCTCTGTCCCTGCAGAGGGGTCTTCAACAGCTAACCAAGTCCCTGAACCCCAAGAAGCCACCCCATCACACCCTCAGCTTCCATGTCCTCCCTGCCAGCTGAACCCATGGCAGAGATGTTATTAGAAACTTGCAGACCCAGGGAGCATTGGGATCAGAGTCTGGCCTGTGCAGGGGTGGCTGGCCTCGTGTCTTAGCCCAGCTCAGGCCCAAGGGGGTGCCCTCCTTCCTCAACACAGGCAGGAGACACTCCAGTCTGTGTAGCTCCTGACTTGGGCCTCATAGATACCACTTCCGGCCAACTCCAACAGCTCCAGAGCACGTGCTGAGTAAAAGACGTCTGGCCGATGAGGGAACAGGAGCCCAATCCATGCAGCCAGAAATGGAGCAGTTTGGATTCAAAATCAGACCTGACCCCAATCCCGGGTTCTTTCTACTCGAGTAGATGCTGCTTTGGGGATAACCCTTCAACCGGTGGTTACCTGGTTTCCCTACCCAGGGAGCATCCAGAGTCTCTGCTGTCAGACCCAGGGCCTTGCCTGCCTGATGGGCTTCAGGGAGGAGGTGGCCCAGACCCCCGCCCAGCACGTGGCACAGCCCCAGGAGCAGTCAAGGCCTGGCTGTGGGCCCAGGACCCTGCTGGGTGGTCCCCCACGGGCTGCAAAGGCTGAGCCGCCCCCTCCAGACCCCTCCCGCCAGCGCATTCCTGGCTCCCCGGCCCCTCCCCTGGCTCCCGGGCCTCCCAGCCCCCTTCCCCGCTGGCCCAGCCCGCGTCTGAATCTGCTTCTGATTCCAGCTCCGCCGATGAGGCCCCCTCCCCTTCCCTCCCTGCTTCCCGACCCGAGCAGCCCCGCCCCCGGCTGGGCCAGTGCTTGCGCCTGCTGCGCCCCCCACCCCCTCCTGGCACAGCTCGTTCGCCCTGGCTGCAGCCGGGAGGAGGCGTCGGCCAGTGCACCGCAGGCCCCGCCCGCCCACGGCCCTTCCCGGGAGGCCGGGAGACCCACTCCTCCCGGCCCTCGGTGGGTGAGTGCGACCGGCGGGCGGCGGGTGGGGCCTCCGCGGGCGGAGGCACCGGGAGCGGGGACGACGCCTGTCATCACTCCAGGCCCAGCGGGAGGACGCGCCAACATCCCCGCTGCTGCGCAGGGCCCGGGGCGTGCCCGCCGCGGCTCCTACCTCTGGGCCCGGCTGGGGCCGCCTGGGGGCTCTGTTCCTCGGCATTGCGGGGCCTGGCGGGCAGAGCCGCGGAGGGGGCTCCTTCTCCCCGAGGGCAGCGTCTTGGGGCCCGGCCGCTGGCTGACCCGTGGTGGCTCCGGCCATGCCCGGCTGGCCCTGGGAGCTGCTGCTAACTGCAGGTACGCTCTCCGCCGCCCTGAGCCCGGGACCGCCGGCGCCCGCCGACCCCTGCCACGATGAGGGGGGCGCTCCCCGGAGCTGTGTGCCGGGCCTGGTGAACGCCGCCCTGGGCCGCGAGGTGCTGGCGTCCAGCACGTGCGGGCGGCCGGCCACTCGGGCCTGCGACGCCTCCGACCCGCGACGGGCACACCCCCCCGCTCTCCTGACCTCCGCAGGGGGCACGGCCAGCCCTCTGTGCTGGCGTTCAGAGTCGCTGCCTCGGGCACCTCTCAACGTGACTCTCACGGTGCCACTCGGCAAGGCTTTCGAGCTGGTCTTCGTGAGCCTGCGCTTCTGCTCAGCTCCCCCAGCCTCCGTGGCCCTGCTCAAGTCGCAGGACCATGGCCGCAGCTGGGCCCCGCTGGGCTTCTTCTCCTCCCACTGTGGCCTGGACTATGGCCGCCTGCCTGCCCCTGCTATTGGCCCAGCTGGTCCAGGGCCTGAGGCCCTGTGCTTCCCGGCACCCCAGGCCCAGCCTGGTGGCAGCGGCCTTCTGGCCTTCAGCGTGCAGGACAGCAGCCCACCAGGCCTGGACCTGGACAGCAGTCCAGTGCTCCAAGACTGGGTGACCGCCACCGACATCCGCATAGTACTCACAAGGCCTAGTGCGGCGGGCAACCCCAGGGACTCGGAGGCCCTCTCTTACTCCTATGCAGCCACCGACCTCCAGGTGGGCGGGCGCTGCAAGTGCAATGGACATGCCTCACGGTGCCTGCTGGACGCGCAGGGCCACCTGATCTGCGACTGTCGGCACGGCACCGAGGGCCCCGACTGCGGCCGCTGTAAGCCCTTCTACTGCGACAGGCCATGGCAGCGGGCCACAGCCCGGGAACCCCACGCCTGCCTCGGTGAGGCCTTGGAGGGTGGCCTGGGGACCTTGGACCCAGCCAGCCTGCCCCTGACCCATCCCTCCCTGCAGCTTGCTCCTGCAACGGCCACGCCCGCCGCTGCCGCTTCAACATGGAGCTGTACCGACTGTCCGGCCGCCGCAGCGGGGGTGTCTGCCTCAACTGCCGGCACAACACCGCCGGCCGCCACTGCCACTACTGCCGGGAGGGCTTCTATCGAGACCCTGGCCGCGCCCTGAGTGACCGTCGGGTTTGCAGGGGTGAGCCTGCCACCGGCCACCTGCAGGCCCTCAGCCTCTGACTTCCCAGATACCCAGACAGGCTTCTGACCAGGCCCTTCCCACCTCTGTCCTCAGCCTGCGACTGTCACCCCGTTGGTGCTGCTGGCAAGACCTGCAACCAGACCACAGGCCAGTGTCCCTGCAAGGACGGCGTCACTGGCCTCACCTGCAATCGCTGCGCCCCTGGCTTCCAGCAGAGCCGCTCCCCAGTGGCGCCCTGTGTTAGTGAGTGTGCCTGCCCTGCCTCAGCCACCAAGCCAGAGTCACCCCAGCTCCCTGCTGTTGTCCCCAGTTTGTTCCTGGAGCCCTGCAGATCTCTCTGCCCCTCCATCGCAGGCCATTCTCCCTCCTTCTCCGCAGAGACCCCTATTCCTGGACCCACTGAGGACAGCAGCCCTGCGCAGCCCCAGGGTGAGTGGACACAGGACAAGGCCCCAGACAGGCATGACTCTAGGGGAGGGGGCTCTGGGTTCCGGGAGAGAAGGGTGGGGAAAGGGGGAATGGGAGTCTGTCCCAGCCTCCCACCCTCTGTCCAGACTGTGACTCGCACTGCAAACCTGCCCGTGGCAGCTACCGCATCAGCCTGAAGAAGTTCTGCAGGAAGGACTACGGTAGGCGCCGTCAGGCCTCCCGCGGACCTTCCCACCTTCCTCCTCTCCGCGCCTCCCCTCGACCAACATCACCTTGGAACACCTTGACCGTTGCTGGGCCCCAAGGCCCATCCCCATCTCTCAGGTCCCCGACGGGCGGCGGCCCCGCCCCTTCAGCCCCCACGGTCCTCCCGCGTCCTCCCGCCCCACCCGGCGCGGGCAGCCCCCTCCTGACCCCGCCCCCTCTCGCTCTTCCCGCAGCGGTGCAGGTGGCGGTGGGCGCGCGCGGCGAGGCGCGCGGCGCGTGGACGCGCTTCCCAGTGGCGGTGCTCGCCGTGTTCCGGAGCGGAGAGGAGCGCGCGCGGCGCGGGAGCAGCGCGTTGTGGGTGCCCGCGGGGGACGCGGCCTGCGGCTGCCCGCGCCTCCTCCCAGGCCGCCGCTACCTGCTGCTGGGGGGCGGGCCCGGAGCCGCGGCCGGGGGCGCAGGGGGCCGGGGTCCCGGGCTCAGCGCCGCCCGCGGAAGCCTAGTGCTGCCCTGGAGGGACGCGTGGACGCGGCGCCTGCGGAGGCTGCAGCGGCGCGAGCGGCGGGGGCGCTGCGGCACTGCCTGAGCCCGCGGGTGGGAGGGGCGGGCGCTGCCCCACATCCAGGAGCACGTTCACCCTGTGCCTTCGCCTGCCGAGGATTCCTTGCTCGCGTCGTGCTTGTCGCCACCTGGGCCACCGCCCCGCCCCTCCGGCAGCTCCCTCGATACCTCCCGTCTGGCCCCGGCGGATGTGACCGGCGCAGCGACAGCCCGCCCCGCACCGAGGCGGGTGATACGGCGCCATGGTCTCCCCCCACCCGGCCGTCGGCCCTGTACCAGGGGCACTGTGATACCCCGAAGGCTGTGAACCCGTCGTGATGCCAGGCCCTCTCGGGGGTCTCAGATCATCCCCCGGGCCTCGGTGATGCACCCCGACCCGGGCGGCGACCCGCCAGGGAGCGCGCTAACCTCCCCAAAGACTGTGGCCACTGCAGGCGCCTTGGAGCCCCCTTGGGGGGACAGGGCGTCTCCTGCCTGCTGCAGCCCCGCAAGGGCGGCGGCCTCGGCCCCTGCAGGCTGGGCGTCTGCCGCCGGGTCTCGCATCTTTCTTGGCCGGCTATGTCCCCATCTGCGGGCTCCGTCCGGCCGTTCCTCTCTCTGCCGCGTCTCCCCCGCTCAGGGCCTGTCCCAGGACTCCCTTCCGGCCCTTCTCCCCCGGCTCGGGGCTGGACGTCGCGCCCACGCGGTTCCAGATCCACGCGTGACCCGGCCGGGCGGAGACTCCGACAGGTGGCTGTCCGGGCCCCCGATGCCCTAGGCGGGGCCCTGCCACCCTCCCGCCCCGCTTGGCTCGCCCCCTGGGACCGCACTGCAGCCGCCGCCCCTCTGCACCGGACCGGTCCCCGGCCGGCGCCTGCTTCCGCCGCAGCCGCAGCCAGCCGCCGGCGCGCATGCCCAGAGCCCGGCCGGCCGGAGACCCGCCGGCGCTCCGGGGTGGGCACTGCGCGCGAGCTTGGCGGGGGCGGGGCCGCGCGCGCGCGTGCGCAGAGAGCCCGGCCGCGGCGAGCTGAGGAGACAGCGGCGCGCGGAGGTGGGTGCGCTTGGGGCGTGCGGGGGGCGCGCGGCGGGGTGGCCCGGCCGGGCCGGGTCCCCGCTGTCACCGCGGCCGACGCGTGCTGGGGGCAGGAGCGTGGGGGCTGGGCTGCGGGCCCCGTCCGAGGCGGGGATGCCCAGCCACGCGGGGTTGGGGGCTCCGGAGCCCGGCAGTGCCGCGCGCTGCGGCTGCGGCTCGTCCTCGGGGGTGGGGGGGGTGCGCAGGAGCGGGAGCCCCTGGGCGCGAGGCCCGAACCCCGCCCGGCTGCTGTCGCCCGCGTCCCGGCCCAGGGCAGGGTGTCGTTGGCAAGAGCCAGCTCTGTGTCAGTCTTTCCTTGGGGCGCTTTCCGTCTCCGCAGGGTCGGAAATCCTCTTCGGGGCCGGGTGAGATTGCCACAGATTCTGATGAGACCCGCCCTGTGGACCTGCAGCGGCCCTGGGCCCCGCCCCACCCCGGATGACACACCCCCACCGCCCACCCTGCTGGGGGTCCGCCCGTCCCCGGCCGGTCCAGTGGTGCGCCCCGCTGGGTGCTCCGAGCCCTGGGAGGTGGAAGCCGGGGACCCCCAGCCCTGAGCCGGCACAGCAGAGGGGAGAGCCGGCCCCACCTGCGCTGGGCCGCATCTGCTCCCGCCCCCTCCAGGCGGGAGTCCCCGCGGCCTGGCCACAGGCTGTCTTTGGTGGCCCCGTTCGGAAACTAGCCAGGCTCGGAAACCCGCTGTGGGCCTCCCGGGTTACTGCTTGCGGGGGGTGACATGAAAGGCCAAAGGTTGTCTGAAAGCCACCTGGTTTGTGTGGAGGTGCAGGTGCAACTGTTAGGTTGGTTGCAGGTTGGTGAGGTCGTGAAGCCAGTGTTACTGTGTTTCCCCAGCAGCTTATTCCGGAATGGGGGTGTCAGCTTATGGAAGCACTGGCGGGTGATTTTTCCCTGTTTTGCTGTGTTTGCCCTGGAGTCAGCAGGTGATTTCCAGGCAATGTGCAGAAGGAACCGTCCCATTATTTGGCACCTGTGTGCTATTTCCTCCACCTGAGGGCCTGGGCTCCGTCTTCACGTTCTGTCCTCAGCGCACAGTAGGCACCCGTGGATGACGCGTGTGGCCTTTCCTCTGCCTAAGGTCCAGGGCTCTGTCCACAGCACACAGTAGGTACCTGTGGATGTTTGCTCAGTTGTGGTGAAGACACACAGTCAGGTACTCTACATTTTAAGGAACACAGACTGGGCAAAACCAATCCAGATAAGAAAGATCAAGAAATCATATGGAAGATTTTGCAGTTCCTCTTCCTGGCCCGTGGCATGACCCCTGCGTGCGCTTCCTTTTATTCTGAGCATTGATCCTCATCTAATCTGAACACTCAGATAAAGGCTTTACATGGAGTACTTATTGGGGAGTGTGTGCTCTGCTTAGAAGCCTGTCTTTCCCTGTGAACAGGGCTGGAGCCACACTGTTCATCTCTGCTTCCCCCAAGCCTGGCCACGGGGCGGCCAGAGGTTCTCTCTACAGAATGGTTGAACTGGATCAAGGTCCTTTGTCGGAATGATAACTATTGCAGTTGCTTTCCACTGGATTGAGGGTGACCTTCTGGGGATGCAGAAGTAATCTAGGCAGGGTTTTCATAACAACAATCCGTTTGGCCACCCAGGGTCTGTAAAGTCACCTGCGGGGTAGCCTTGCTAGCTCTTGCTGACCACACCTGCCAGGGCTGTCCAGCAGGCTCGAGTGACCTTGGGCATGCTGTGTTGCTCTTAATTAACTACAGATTGAGCCAAGCTCAAAAAACATATTAAATGTTTGCCTTTAGATGGTTTCTGGTTTAAAGTACATAAGGACGATGAAGCAGATTATAAAAAAAGCACTTAACATTTACCCTGTTCAATGTTTTACCAGTCAGAGCATACGTTTTCTGTTATGACAACTCTGTAAATGGAAGAAAGAAGTCCTTTTCAACTCAAAGCAGCAATTTCAGTGGCTGTTTCAAACATTGCCTTTCAATTGGAGATAATATCAGAGAAACAAAACCTCAGGCTTTTTACTGAGGACCAACTTGAATTCATTATTCGATGATTTTCTGCATCCTTTCTTTCAACATGGATTTACTAAGCCAGGAGCAGTGGTTCATGCCTGTAATCCCAACGCTTTGGGAGGCTGAGGCAGGAGGATCACATGAGCCCAGGAGTTCAAGACCACCCTAGGGAACATAGAGAGGTCTCGTCTCTATAAAAAATTCGCCAAGTATAGTGGCATGCACCTGTGGTCCCAGCTACTCGGGAAGCTCAAGAATGCAGTGGGCTGTGATTGTGACAGGGCAACATAGTGAGACCCTGCCTCTGAAAACCAAAACAAAAGTGCATTTATTGAATTCATACTTCATAGGAGGCACCATGCTGTGCGTTCTGTGGATTCGGTGTTGAGTAAGAGTTGGTCTCAGCCCTTGGACTTATATTGCAGTGAGGAGAGAGGAGAATCAACACAAGGTAGAACCTCCCACAGAGGTGGACAGAACCTTCAGTGGGTGCAGAGGCCTGGCGTCCAGCTGGATTATGGTGGAGGTGGAGCTCTGAGATGGGCTTGAGCTTCATTTTGAAGGATGATCGGGGTGGCAAGAGCAAGTGAGGGAAAGCACCTTCCCACAAAGGGACAGTGTATATAAAGTAATGGGTGTGGTTCCTGCCCACCAAGTCTTGGGAGAGGGGCAATGGTGGCCCCAGGTGGATAGGGTGAAGTGAGTAAGCTAGGCTGACCGCAGGCTGGGAAAAGCCTTGAGTGACAGCCTGGGAGTATGAATTTCACTCTGAGTGCCATGAAGCCTCCGAAGATCTTGGGTTTGTGAGTGACTGGATCAGAGGTGGCCAGGGAGGTGAAGGGCTGCATAGAGGCCAAGGCCAGTTGAGGGACTGTCATGGCACACCCAGAGAGATGTCAGCACAGAAAAGAGGAAGACTCAGCTGGGCACAGGGGTTCACACCTGCAAGCCCACACTCTGAGAGGCTGAAACGGGAGGATCGTCTGAACCCAGGAGTTGCAGGCTCAGTGAACTGTGATTGGGCCACTGCACTCCAGCCTGGACAACTCTGTGTCAAAAGGAAAAAGAGAGCAAGACTCTGGGACAAGTGGCTGCAGGCTGGGGAGAGCCAGGGAGGAAGGAGGGGATGTTCCAGGATTGAGCGGCTGGCGGTGCCACACCCCGTGCAGAATGTGAAGGGAGGGAGCAGGCTGGCACCGTGTGGAGATGCTGATGATGTTACTGTGAGACGTCTGGGCAGTAAGCACTTGTGTTCTGGCCTGCAGCCAAGGAGAATGTACCAGGCTAGGGAGCATTTTTGGGATGCTATGTGGCGTCTAAGCTGGCAGTTGGGCTGGGTCTTCCCAGGAGAATGTGTAGAGTGAGAAAAACAAGACAGAACCCTGAACCCTGTAGGCTCCTAATAAATTCCGAAAACAGAGTCATTAAGGTAACAGAAAGTCAGTCAGTAAGCCATTGCCTTTCAGGGGAATGTGGGAGGGTAGTGGGCTTTTAATTTTCTTTCTTTCTTTTTTTGTTTTTTGTTTTTGAGACAGGGCCTTCCAAATAGCTGGAACTACAGACTTTTTTCCTTTCTTTTCTTTTCTTTTTTTTTTTTTTTTTTAGACAGAGTTTCCCTCCCGTTGCCCAGGCTGAAGTACAGTGGTGGGGTCATGAAATCATGGCCCACTGCAGCCTCGACTTCTTGGACTCAAGCAATCCTCCCACCTTAGCCTCTTGAGTAGCTGGGACTACAGGTGCACACCACCACGCCCAGCATTTTTTGTAGAGACAGGGTCTTACTTTGTCGCCCAGGCTGGTTCAAATTTCTAGGCTCAAGCAATTCTCCCGCTTTGGCCTCCCAAAGGCTGGGATTATAGGTGTGAGCCACAGTGCCCAGCCTGGGCTTTTAATTCCTGTCACCGACACCCAGTGTGTCTCCTAGAGTGAAGGATAGAATGTGGGACGTGAGGATGCCAGTGTCCTTGCAGCGGCCTTCCTGTCTTACATGTGTGTTCACCTTTTGGGGAACCTCCAGCTTGGTGTCACTTCTCAAAGGACCTGGTTCACCTGCAGTCTGAGGGTTGATCTCAGAGCGTTCTCACAGGTATGGCTCTGGAAAAGACCTTCTCAGACCCAGACACCGAAGGCTGCAGAGCCCTCGGGGTCACCGCCTTCTTCCAGGACCGTTTCTGTGTTGTCCATCAGCACTGGCCACAGGCATGACTTTGGAAAAAAATTTACTAAGGATAGAGGCCAGGCATGTGGTGTGCCTCCCGCAGTCCTCCCACCCTAAGGGGCCAAATGGGTGAGGCTGGGGAAAGGCTGTTCCCCCAAAGCAGCCTCTGCCCGCAGCCGGTACGTGAGCCTCTGGATAAGGTTGTGAGCTGTTATCTACACCCTCCAACAGAACCTTCTCACAGGGGCACGGGCTGTCGGGCCTCCGAGGACCGTGCATGTACAGCCATGGCTTCCTGCCCCTCCCCAGTGTGCGCTTTTCTTTTTCTGTTAATTGTTTTTGTTTTGGTTTGGTTTGGTTTTTGAGACAGAATTTTGCTCTTGTTGGAGCAATCTAGGCTCACCACAACCTCCATCTCCCAGGTTCAAGGGATTCTCCTGCCTCAGCCTCCCAAGTAGCTGGGATTACAGACATGCGCCACCACACCTGGTTAATCTTGTATTTTTAGTAGAGATGGGATTTTGCCATATTGGCCAGGCTGCTCTTGAACTCCTGACCTTGTGATCTGCCCACTTCGGCCTCCCAAAGTGCTGAGATTACAAACGTGAGCCACTGCACCCAGTTGTTTTTTTTTTTTTTTTT